CTAAGCTACTCTAGCTTTTATTTAAGAAACTAAAGTAGGCACACGCAAGTAGTACCTATAGTAAATAACAGACAACTAATTTCCTTTGTCTATAACTAGAGCATAGGCTCTCACTATATGTCTACAAACCTATATATACTATTCCCTTATACAGAAAAAACTTGTAAATTACTAGAGCAGCCTCACTGCTCTTGTCCTATATAGTCTTAGACTCACACAGGACGTTAAACTAATCAATCAATCAATCAATCAATCAATTAGGTCTAGGACACTCTCTCTATTCATATTAGGCCTAAAGAAAGTGCCTGTACCAGGGCTATTTAGTAGCTCTAGGTCTTGTTCTTCTAGCCAAGTAACTAAACTAGCTGCTCTTGGTGTTATAGTAGCTACTATAGGGTCCCACCATGGGTGGTTAATATTAAAGTCGCTAAGCAGGATGGCGGAGGGCAAGATAGAGGTGCTAAGGAGCTTTCTCTCTATTGTAGTGTTGCCTTGTGTGTCTAGCTGGTTGTAGACATTGTAAATAGAGAAGGTTGTTCTAGAGCTCTTAACTGTGATAGCTAGGAAGTCAGGATCAGGACTAGTGTCTGCTAATATATTGACTTGCGCTTGTATAGAGCGTGCAGAGTAGACTAAAACACGTGGTCTTGTGCTGTGATCTTGTAACAAAGGAAGGATTTGTGTAAAGGAGGAGTAATTTACAGAGCGTTTGTCTAGGTAATCTAAAGGAGATTGTCTAGCAGGAATAAGCCAAGGCTCTTATACTAGTACAAGGTCTATTGCTAGTTCTACTGCAATTGATTGATTGATTGATTGATTAGTTTAACGTCCTGTGTGAGTCTAAGACTATATAGGACGAGAGCAGTAAGGCTGCTCTAGTAATTTACAAGTTTTTTCTGTATAAGGGAATAGTATAACGTAAACCCCCAGCACCCAGGCCAACCCAGCACCCGGGCCAAAAAAGCTTGGCAGTACCAACTCACGTTACAACTCTTCAATTTCATCGCTATTTAATATAGAGCCTGCGTATGCTGTGCTTGTATCTGATTTAGAATATGCCTCTATATCTTTTTTGCACGTTCGCGCGTTGTGTCCAGTCCCTCCACAGTTTCTACAGCGCTGTAGAGCTAGTTAAGCTTATTCTTAATTACCACTACCACAAGCCTTCTTCAACCGCTCAGCGGCTACAGAGGCCTCTGCGGCCACCTAAGCTGCTGCCTCACCATACTCTATAGTACTACCTTGCTAGATCTGCTTCCTTTTGCGCGATTTCCGCTTAGTCATTACTGCTAATTGCTCTTCAAGCTCAGTAATCTGGGCTGCTTGAAGCGCGTTCTGATGCAGCATAAGCTCGCCGCCTCTAAGAAGCTAAGAGAAGCCTGCTTGCGCAGTAATAGGCAACTAAGTAAAAGACTCGCGTACAAGCTTCAACTGAGATCCAAACTTGTAGGTATTGCTTAGAGTCTTTGACTGCTATAGCGTCTCTAGGAGGAGGGGTTCTAGCAGGGTACGCAGGCGCACTTTAAGGCAATCTAACACAACCTGCGTGTTAAGAGGGACTAGCCCTGCTGCCTTAAAGGCCTTGCAACAGTTCTCTGCTGTAAACACATTAAAAAACGCGTCCTTAAAGGCAGGGAGGAAGCCTTCTTTGTTAATGTAGAAGACATGCTTGCGTGCTAAGTCTTGTATGTGCTAAGAGTACTTGCGCTTTAACAGCAAGAAGCAGACTACATTAAGCAGCTAGAGGATGTGCGATAAGTAAGGTAGCATGCAGAGGGTAAGGATCATGTTTTTAAGGCAGTAGTCCTTAAAATCCTAGTTAAGGTGGCTCTCATGGCCGTCCAAAATAAGCAGCCTGTACGCCCCCACCTGGCTCGCCTTTGTATGCGCGTCGAAGTGCTTCAGCCACTCAAGGCCAAGCGCGTTGTTCGTCCAGCCGCTCTCGGAGACGGAGAGCTTCCAATTGCGTGGTATATCTGCCTCCTCGTACTAGGCAGAGATGTGAACGCGTCCTTTGTAGATGATGAAAGGCAGGGTACAAGATCTAGCAGCGCAGACGCTCTAGATAACTGTTACCCACTTGCAATCACCTGGCTGAACGAGCTGAGGTTAATTACGTCTCTCTACGCCTGTAACAACCTTTATTAAGCTAATAACACCTATCTAGAAGCTAGTCTTATTAAAGTTGTGCATGTTATAGTTGTGTACGCTGTATTTAGCTTTTGTGTCCTCTACTAGCTTAAACCACGCGCTGATTGTCTCTAGATCCTCCTGCAGCATCCTCTGCCTATCTTTAGCTTAATTAAAGGCTATCTTGAGCGTAGCTGAACGCGTCACGAAGCGCTCAGCCTAGTGCTTGCCAACAGGCTGCCCACCGCGTACACCCAACAGTTTGTCGGCCATATCTGCCACCTCGCACAGCTAGGGCGCGAATCCTTGCGAATTAAGGTCAAGAATGTATTATATAATTGTTTGCTCTTCAGTGCGCGTAAGCTTATGTTGTGTGTTGCATCTATTGTTAATATAGAGTCTGCCTCTATACCTAGCACTTAAGGTTGTACGCAGTATGTTAAATGCCTAAGCAGCGCTTTAGAGGCTTTTAAATTTATGTAATTAGAAAGTAGAAAGGGCAAGATTAATTCTACCCTCTTGTTTAGATAATTGCGTATCTTGTTAGTAAGGCATTACGTGTTAATATTAATAGTTGTGGTCTTGGCAAGAAATGGCCTGGGTGCTGGGTTGGCCCGGGTGCTGGGGGTTTACGTTATATAGGTTTGTAGATATAAAGTAAGAGCCTGTGCTCTAGTTATAGACAAAGGAAATTAGTTGTCTGTTGTTTGCTGTAGGTACTACTTGCGCGTGCCTACTTTAGTTTCTTAAATAAAAGCTAGAGTAGCTTAGATTCCCCTATTTGTGTCTAGGAGAAGAGGTATTGTTAGCCTTGTCTCCTGTAGGCTGCTCTTTATTATTCTTTCTTACTTCTCTGTAGTTTCTACAGCTAAGTAGTAGGTGTTAAGGTATTTATATATATCTGTAGCTGTATTTAGAGCTTTCTATTTGTTGTCTATTATATAGGTATACTTTGTTATATCTATGTCTAAGTTTAAGCTAGTAGTATGCGCTTGCAATTTCTCTTCTAGTGTTTTTTAGTATTGTTATCTTGCTTGTTAGCTTTAGTAAGAACCTTGCTGCGTAGGTGCTAGGATTCCTAAGCTTTGCTTTTATAGAGTAGGCTTAGAGTTTAACGTGTTTTACAAGCGAGCGCCGCGTACAAGCGAGCGCCGCACCCCACCAAACTTGCGCACCTCTCTCATCTCAACGTACAATGGCCCAACGCAGCGCTGCTCTATCAGCTTCAAATGAAGCAGACGTTCAGCTTGCTATCTTATCTATTAATTCTCACCAGATACAGAGCAATCGCAGTGCTGCTGTTATCTATAGCGTACCTGAACGAACGATCCGCCGCCGACGCGCTGGCAAGCCTGCCCGACGCGATTGCCAGCCCAACTCAAAGAAGCTTAC